GCTCTAACTTTTGCCTAGGTCGCCTTTTTAGGTTTCCGGCCTAGCAAACCTCTCAAGGATAGTGTTACAACACTTGTGGTGAATTTGATGAATAGTCATCCTTGCCCTAACACTGGAACTGGCTTTGCCTTGATTTGAGCTTGGTTCTCCATTCTCTTATGCATGCCTTTGTTCTTTCTTTCGCTCCATTTGCAAAGTTGGCTTTTCTTACACTATGGTATCTCCTCGCATCGGCTTTCCCGAATGCAAACAAAAGTTCCTTTCCTCATAATTAATTGGATTTCATTCCCATGGATTCCCTTGGCCTGATGGATGATTGCTTTTCCTTTTTTTCTTTTCTTCATTCATTTTTTGTTCTTTTTTTTTTCTTTTTCCTTTCTCTTTCAGGTTTCTTCTTTCTTTTCTTCTTTTCTGGTTTCTTTTGTCCATTTCTTAAAACACCAGAGCGAGAAATTCTACGATTGTGAGGTCTGAAAGCTTTTTTATACTTGTAGGTCTAAAATTCGCCTCGTGCTTGCCAAAATGATTGCCTAACGGTGAAGAGAATCCCCAGGATAATGTAAAATACCGTGCACAATTCTGAACCTATCTTTGCAAATTTTGCAAAAGAAACAACTTAAAATTTTTGAAATCATGAATGACTTTGCGCTGATAAGTCAGAATTCACTCAAACCATTAGGGGGGATCCTTCTCAACACTCGAGCTTATTAATAGAATTTCATTCAAAAAACAAATTCAACGTTTTTTCTATTTGTAAAAGGTCACGCATAAGTTACTATGGGCACAACAAAATGATCAAAAACTTGACTCTCACTGTAGACACCCCATTTTTTACCGACCTTAAGGCTCAGACGTCATCGATTGGGCGCTCGGTGATTGTGCGTGTTATGCTCGTTCTGAGGTTTCGGAGTTTTGGCTGAGAGCCTTGCCTCCAAGCCTCTAAACTCTTTGTGCTTTGGCTCGATTTGCGGACCAAGTCTTGTTTTCCCTTTCCGGAGGGAGGGAGTGGTCATGTAGACTATCTCTCTATGGTCGTAGACTAATTTTCGTGTTCGTAGGCCACTTGTCCCATTTGAAGACTAGTTTTTGATTTTTGGAACCTTTGGCCGTGCGCCTTGTCTCGGGACCGCTTAACATTCTCCATTTGGCGTGGTTTTTGAACCACACCTTGTTGCCTCTGCCTAAAGGAACACTGTGGTCTGGGAGACCACTTTTGTGGTTGCATACCACTTTTGGTGCTCGTTAGCTAGTTTTCGGGGCTTTCGGCCGCGTGCTTTGCCTCCCGTTTTCTCGTCTTGCATCCGATTTGGTTTGTTTTTAGTACAAACCTTGTTTTCCTTGTTTGGAAGGTGGTACAAGGGTGGGAGACCAGTATTTCTCCTGGCCGACCACTTTTCCTTTTTCCAGCTAGTTTTCTTGTCAGATAACTGGTTTTCTTGGTCTTTGGACCATCTTTTCTGGTTGGCCACCACACCACCACCTTGCATTTAGTGTGTTGACCTCTCCCACCTATGGCTAACCAGTTTTTGCTTTGTTTGACCACCTAAAGTAATCGGCCGACCACTTAAACTAGCAAGTGGTCGGCTGCCTTTTGGCACCTTTTTGGAGATATTTTCCTCCTGGAGGACATTAGACTCATCCTTCATACACGTGTATAGAGGGATTGCCTTGGTGCTTAGCTTCTCCTAGAAGCTTTGCGTTTTCTCTTCTATAAGAGGGAAGCTCCTCCTCCCTCCTCTAGGTTCAAAAAATCTGAGGGAAGAGGATAGTTATAGTGTTGTATCTATATTGCCTTGTTTGCTTCATTTTTGTGCTCAAAAGTGTAGATTTGTCTTAGTTTTGTGCACAAACACACACTTAAACATCTTGCTTGTGTTGCTGAGGCTCCTTGAGGTTGTTTTTGGTGTTCTTGGATTGGTTTAAGTTCAAAAAGCCTACTGGAGTTGCAATTATAAAGAGGGTCTTCAAGGGTGAGCTTTTGACCTTTAAATCCCCGTTTCTTACTTAAGCTTTTAGCCTATCTTGAATACTGTTTTAAGCTTAGCTCATAACTAATAAAAGTTTTGTTTTTGCATGCTTAAAATTTTTGTTTAAGATCACTTTTGTGTTTGGGATTGTTTACCCCCTCTTAGGCCTTGTTTGGCCTTGTTTTTGAGCCTTTTTTGTGAGCTTCGGGACCACCTTGTATTGGCCTTCTCACAACTGAAATCCTGTGGATGGTGTTTTAAGGTCCTAAGAAGGAGAGGGTCATCCCCTCTCCTTGTGTCTTCTTTACATGCCTTAATATGCCTCATGTTTGAGCACCTTTACTAAGCTTGTGTTAGCTTGTTCTTAGCATGTATTTGTGGTTATTTTGCTGAGGCATACCACTGTTTTTACTTGTCTTGATCACTCCATGCATGGTTAATACACTTGTAGTGTAAATCACACAAACTAGCTTTGTATGCGTTATGAAGTAGCATGTCATTCTAGCTTGTTTTCTTTCCATTTCAGCATGTTTTTGGTGATGTTTTGCCATGTCATGACTCTGTTTTGGTTTGGTTTGGTTAGCCTTTGCATGCTCCATGCACTTATAGAGCATTTTCATGAATTAGCCTAGTATGTCTCATGCTTTAACATGTCATTCTAGCATGCTTTTGGCTTAGCTCTGAGGAGACTTTGTTCATGTTTTTCCATGCTTAAGGTCTAATTTTGGTTGTTTTGGCCATCCATGACTTGCTTTGTATAGCCTCGGTTCATTCTAGCTTGCTAGCTTTATGTATCAAGTCCACTAGCATGTGTTACTTGACCTATTTCAATGATTTGGCATCACTTGAAATGTTATTTCAGTCCATGTAATGTGGTCACACACTTGCATTTGACATGTTATCAATGCCTTAGAGAGTTTGTGTTTTATGCCTCATGAATGGATCATTGTGCATGCCTCTATGCTTATGTCTTTGAGTTGCCATCTCAGTGGGTTTTTGAGATTATTTTGCCATAATATAACTCTTATTTTTGGTTGTTGAGTCATCCCATGCTTGGTCTTAATAGGTGTAGTGTAATCCACCTTATTTGCCTTGTATGTATCATGCCTCATGCTCACCATGCTAGCTTGTTTTGGCTTCTTTTCATGCATGTATTAGACTCATTTTAACATGTTCTATGACTGTTTTTTATTGCCTTTATCATATGCTTCATGCTTTGTATAGCTGTAGTGCAATTGGCCTTGCTAGCTTTGTGTTTTGATGCCTCATGCATGTTATCTTTGAGCTATTTAGATGAATTGGCATCATTTAATATTTTATTTCAGAGCATGTAGCATTGCTATATTCCCACTTCAATCATCCTTTAAATGCCTTTGAGTGTTGTGCATTGTTGTCTTGTTTATGGCTTAGCTTGTATGCTTGCATGCCTTGTCTTTTGGTGCCTTTGTTTTGGTGTTATGGCCATTGATTTGGGCATGGCTGAGGTCTGCCCATTTTGGTTTAAGTCCATCTTTGCATGTTGTTGCACGGTTGTCTTTGCATGTTGTTGCATGCTTGTCTTTGCATGACATTGTTGCATATTTGTTGCATCGCATTTGGCATGCTTATGTTGCATTGTATAGCATCTCCATATTGCATGTATTGCATTGTGTTTGGTTTGGGTGTTAAGCCAAGCATGAGGAACGAGGAGCGTTTCATACTTGAAGTGATGAAACGTGCCTCAATTCTCGGTCGCCGACACTCTTGATCAAGCATGATAGAGTTTAAGGCACTTATGTGTTTTTGTGCATTCAAATTGTAATTATCATTATTATAATGCTTTTGATTAGAATATTTTATCTCATTTATCTATTTCTTGTTCTTTTTATTTTTTTATTTTTTATAATATCTTTCTTTCTTTCTGATAATAAGATGAATGGTGGAAGATGTTTGGACACAGTACTCCAAATTTGCAAAAGTTAGCCATTCGAATTCTTAGTCAAACTAGCAGCTCTTCTGGGTGTACAAGGAATTGGAGCGCCTTTGAACGAATACATACAAAGAAGAAGGAATAGACTAGAACATCATAGGCTTAATGATCTCGTGTATGTTCATTACAACTTGGATAGAAGAATAGGTAATTAATCTTTCTCATATAGTAACTAATGGATTCTTTATTTTATTCGTTTATTTAGTCTTACAATTGAATTAATATAGGAAGTATTACAAAACAAGGAATTATGATCCCATTGACATTGAAAGCATTGACAAAACCGAGTTTTGGATTATTGAGGAAGAAAGACTAGAACAAGAGGAGCCTCCATTGCTTGATTATGATGAGCTTGAAAAAATGCTTTATGAAGAAGATGAGTCTCCACGATATGAGAAGCAATGTCATGGTCTACGAGATGGTTAGAAAATAATGTTTCATCATTAAGCAACATTTTTTTTTTATTATCTATCATTATCAAAATGATAGCTTAATGATTTTATTTTAACTATTGTAGATGATGTTGAGGATGATATGGAGGTAGAACTTCTTGGAGATGATATCGACTTGGGATCTTTTGGTGACGTGAAACATTGATAATAGATCAAACAATCCGAGCTCTAGTGCAAATGCGAGTGAGAATGATGATGATGATTGGCTAAATTATCGTCCCTAGGAGATTTAGGCAAAAATCAAAGATTGTTTGTGATGTTATGTTGTGTTGTCTGTAAACTTTGGGCTTAGTTTTTGTCTTTTTTGTAACTTATGTTATGGATTGCTTTAGTTGGATGCTTTCATAATTTTTATTGCTATGATTGTTGTTTTTAATGGCTAAATTTTCATCTTTAATTTTATTTGTTGTTAGTATGTGAAGTGTTATGGCTTATATTCAGGAATTTTTTTTTTTAAGTATAGAAAAACATCACTAAAAATATTTACGAATTTTTTTGAAAAAAAATGAAAATTTAATATTTAAATTATTTAATTTATAATTTTTTAAAAAATTATTTATGACATAATTATGACGTCACGGTTCGATCCGGTTCAACCCACCGGTTGAACCGATGACCCGTCCACCCGATCATTTTTCCGATTCGCTCACCGGTCCAGTTTTTAAAACCTTGAGTTCTTGTGGATGTACTATTATGGGTGATGGTTGGACTGATGTTAGACAAAGAAATCTAATAAATTTTCTTGTCTATAGCCCTATGGGAATTGCTTTTGTGAAATCAATTGATGCCTCTGATGCTGTCAAAGATGCTACTCTTTTTTCTAAATTGTTTCTAGAGGTTATTGAGTGGGTGAGAGTGTCGAATGTTGTTCATATGGTGACAGATAATGGAGCAAATTATAAAGCTGCTGGAGGACTTGTAAATGCTACTTACAAATCTATAAATTGGTCTCCATGTGCAGCTCATTGCTTGAACTTAATCTTAAGTGAAATTTCCAAGATGAATCATGTGCATGAGCTTGCTATTAAGGCATCAAAGGTGACAAGGTACATATACAACCGTTCATGGTTGTTAGCTCGGTTGAGAAAGAAGAAGAGTTGGACTGAAATTGTGCGCCCAGGAGCAACGCGCTTTGCCACTACTTTCCTTGCATTGCATAGTATTCATGAGCATATGCATGATTTGCAAGCTTTGGTGACAAGTAAGGAGTTTGCAAGTTCAAGGTTTGCCAAAGAGAAGAAAGGAAAGGATGCCATTGATATCATTTTAGATAAACAATTTTGGAAGGATTGCTTCATCATTGTTAAGATTGTTGAGCCACTTATGTGTCTCTTGCGTATTGTTGATGGAGATGAGAAACCGTCCATGGGATATGTTTATGAAGGCATGTATAGGGAAATCAAAGGTATTAAAGATATTTTCAAGAGAAATAAGAGGTTGTATAGGCCTTACACAACAATCATTAAAACTCGTTGGGATGATCAATTGCGAAACAATATACATGCGGCTACTTATTGGTTGAACCCAACTTTTCAATATGATCAAGCTTCATTTTGCAAAAAGCCAGAGGTTATGAATAGTGTACTTGATGTGATTGAAACTAAAGCCACATCAAGTAAAACAAAGCTCATGGATGAACTTAGATTGTTTCGAGATCGACAAGACAGTTTTGGAAGAGAGCTTGCCATTATTACATCAAAGAAAACACAACCTGGTAATCTCTCTCTTTTTTTTATGTACTTGGTGTTTTGGCCCTTCATACTAGCTTACCTTGGCTGTACTCCATACATGTTTTAGCATTATTTTGACATGCTTTAGGACTTTTTGGGTTTCCTTGGCCATATGCTTCATGTATTGCATAGCTATAGTGGAAGTGCCTATGCTAGTTTCAAGCTTTGAGCCTCCTAGCATCCTTCATTTGTGACATGTACATGATTTGGCATCATTTAACATGTTATTTCAAAGCATATAGAATCGCCATGTTCCCATTTATTTCATTCTTTGAGTGCCTCTAAAGGTCATGCATTATTGCCTTGTTTGTGGCCTAGCTTGTATGCATGCATGCCTAGACCTTTGAGCTCCCCTCTTAGCATGTCTTGGTCTTTGTTTTGACCTATTTGAGCTCTGTTTGTGGCTAGTTCATTTATTTGTGCCATGCATTACGTGCCTCTTGTGTAGTCCCATTCACTAGCTTTCGTGTTTAAGGACCCTAGCATGCCATACTTGTGTTGTTTGAATGATTTGGCACCATTTCTTACCTCATTTCAGTGCACTTAGTGTTGCTACACTTCCATTCTTTTTCACTCTTTAAGTGTTCTTGAGAGTTGCAACTTAGTGCCTTAATTAGTGAGCCAATTGGCATGCATGCTTGTATGTGTTTTCGGTGCCTTCATTTTAACATTATGGCCTCTATTTGGGCATGGTTGAGGCCTACCCACATTCGGTTTAAGCCCATTGAGCATTGTGTATGCCATGTCACATCGCACCGTGCATGTTATGTTGTTGTTTGCATTGCGCATGCCATGCTCTTAATTCGCATTGTGTATGCCATGATCATATTGCATTGAGTATGCCATGATAGTCATTGCATTGAGTATGCCATATTGGTTCATCGCATTTGTGTATGTCATGTCCATACGCATTGTGTATGCTAGTTGCATTGTATCATGTTGTTTGCATGCTTATTTTGCCTTGCATTGAGTATGTATGTCCCTAACATTGATAAGTTACCCTTGTTGCATTGCATTGTGTATGCATAAATTAGCATTATTTGCATGTCATTAGCTTTGTTAAGTTGATCGTGTCACTTTGCATCGAGTATGCCATGTAGTTGCATTGTGCATACTAGTTGTCATTTAGCATTGTGTATGCTAGTTGTTGTTCTTAGCATTGTGCATTGTGCATGCCATTAGCCTTGTTAGGTTGTTCATCTTGCATTGCATATTGGCATGCTTGTTTCATTGCATTACATTTTTGCATACTCCATGTTACATTGCATTGTGCATGCCATGTTATGTGTTGCATTGTGTTTGGAATAGGTGTTAGTCCAAACACGGGAAAAGAGGGACGTTTCATACTTAGAGTGATGAAACGTGCTTCAATTCCCCGTCGCCGATGCTTTTGATCATACATGATAGAGTTTTAGACTTTATGTGTTCACTTGTGCATTCATTTTCATATTGAATTATGCAACTTCACCTCTCGGCCATCATGCATTGAAATGAACGATTGGTGGCCCGAGGGTCGAGAACCTACACTCCCTTGAGTTCATGACATGATACAGAGGGTGGTTGTGCATACATATCTTGCAAATACATTGTCATGCCCTTTCTTGCTCTTTGTTACAGAAAATTGGAGTCTGGTAGCAACAACTGGTCGGCCAGCCAGAAAAAGTAGCTAGCTAACCACTTTTCTTGGTTTTCAACAACAAAAAGTGGTCGGTAGGGGTCTGGAGAGACCAAAAGTGGTCGGCCACCCTCCCATTGGATTCTCAAGGTGGATTTTCATCTTCCTGGAGCTTGGTGCAAGTTTCCGAAAACAAATGAAAACAGAGGCAAATCAGGGCATCGCATTGGATTTCCGAACGAGGTGACCGGACATGCATGCATTCCTCTACCTCTGAGGCTCCTGATTTATTACTTTCCTTAGCTACCATGCTTAGATAGCTAGGTTTTGCTTTGGTCTGTACCTTTAATAGTTAATGCGTTAGCTATTCAATTTGTTCTGTAATAATTAGTTAACTAGGATTAGTTAATTAATTTGTTGTGTAATAATTAGTTTAATTCACTTAGATTAGCTAGTTAGCTCCTTATTCGGTCTCTCCCTCGAGAGGGCCAATTGTTGTAATAAGCATGCGTGTGGGTGATGTATGTCTTCCAACCCCCATTTCTTTCTCCCTTTTACTTTACCGCTTACGATGGTTAGTTTTAGGGCATATTTCATTTAGCATACCTTATGCTTGCATGTTTGCATCCATTTGTCTGTATTGAATGCACCGGGCTCGGCGCATCATGCTCACTGCATTGTATTTCAATTCCAATTTGAATACGTGTACCAAGTTACATCTCACATGACATACTTAGGATAGCCGAGCCTATCTTAATTGCATTTTTGCATGTGTTGCATTAGCCATTTAACATGAACTAGGATCATGCATTGATTTCTAACTAGTTCTTTGTTTTGGCTCGGAGTACACTGTGAGTGTTTACGCTTTAGCATACTACATGTGTGTTAATGTTGCCATGAAAACATGCTTGCCATGAGGCTATTTGCTTACGTGATTAACTGTCTGAATGCGTGTGGGTGAAGGTTAGATTACTTGAATTGGGACAATTCATTGAAATCCGCATTTTAGCCTACTCGCGAGTAGCAAACTTCAAACCATTTTCCAAACAAACGGATATACGATGCTTGGTTTCAAATTAGAAATTAGGCGATCTAGTCTATACTTGTTTGCTGTGCGCATCACATAGTAAGATTAGCTAATTAACCGGAATAAGAGCACATGTGTTTTCAAAAAAAAGATATCATGCTTAGTACAGGCCGATCTTTGATCGGGCGAGCGAGGGTGCTCATTAAATGACCTTCCCCAATCGTACCCAAGTTCCCGAGCCGAGGCAACTTTGGTGATGACGGACACGTGGCCTTAGGCACGAGTTAGGGTTTCCTAAATTCCCCCAAAATAAAATATTTAAGCGGTGACTCTGTATCTAGCAAAACAGTCCATGTTTGGCACTTCTTTATAAAAATCAGTTTTCCAAAACGATTTGCCAAATTTGGACTCTTTGGTGATTTATCGGTCTCACATCGCACATTGTGAGATTAGATTCAGAACCGTGACATTTGAGTCCGAACATGTGGTAAGCCCAAATTAACGAAACGGGATTCTTCCAGGGGCGTTCGGGGCGCGTCTACAGTTTATGGCGACTCTATTAGGGAAATAGAAAACTTGACTCAAACTCATGATATTGTGTTTTGTTCACACTTATGTGTTTCTTTGCATTGCATTTGCATTGGTGCGCCTAGGACACCGTGTTTGCCGTATGCTATTCCTAATTGGTTTGCCAGAGACTCGCTTTGAGAAGCGTGCCATAAAGCTGACCGGTTGCGGGCTTTGCCACGACGGGAACACAAACCCCGATTTTTATCGGGGCACCCTTTTTGACCATTCGACCTAGTGCATATTCGAAATCCATAGTGACTATTCCAAACTAGGACAAGTTGCTTTCCCGATTATAGGTTGTTTGAAACCGCTGTGTGCATAGTGAAACCCTAGCTCCTGACAAAATAGGACAGGAAAACCCTACCCCAATATAGGGGTGTTTTGGCTCTCACTTGCTTGCTACTTGTTGTAAGAGTATGTCTCTACAGGTTGCACGTATCAGTTTGCAAGTCTGGGTATCAGGCCTGAGGGCATCAGTATTTTGAGAATCAGTTATATCTGCGAGTATCAGATTCAGTTTTGGGGCAGCTATTTGGGCAACAGCGATCAGTGTTTGAGAACAGTGTACTTCAGCTCGTAAATATCAACTGTGTGTTGTGTTTATTTAAAGTCGTTATGCTGTCCGTTTTTCTGATTGTTTATTTATTTATTATTCTTTATTTATCTTTTTGCAAGGTAGTTTAGCACAATTGCATCTGACCAGGCAGATATTCCCCGAGCACTCTGGGTTGGAGGTCGAAGACTCAATCGATCCAGGAATTTGATAGACGGACAAGCAGTGTTTATTTCTTTACCCCTGGTTGCTAGGCGGAGGTCAAGAAGGCGCAGTGTATCAGTACAAAGGTTATCAAATCAGTGGTTTTTGAACAGTCAGGCTGAGGTCTTAGTTCCTACTACAGAGTTAAATATATCAATTGTCCAGTCCAATCCAGACAATATGGCAGGTTTGAAAGCGATGATGCGCTAGCTCCGGGAAAGTATGAAAACCATGCAGCAGGATGCTGCCTGTTAGGCAGAAGTATCTGCACGTCAAGTCGAGGTAGTAACCCAATAGGTAGATTTAATTGCCAGACTACAGCAGCAAACCAGAGCATCTGCTTCGCACACACCTCCTACCCCAACCAGAGTTCCAATACTCGGGGAGATGCCAAATGTCCAGGAAAATACGGACGTTCCAACAGGGCCAGCTCCGCCCCCAGTCCTACTCCATCTATCTAAAACACCCACCAACCTAGTGGATTCGCCGTTTGAGTTTGAGGTAGATCCAATGGCGTTAAAAGTAAGAAAGCTAGAAAAACTTTTCAAGAAGTCTCAAGGTATGAAATCCATTCCAGATATAGAGGATGGGTATACCGACTCGGCCGTGACGCTGCCAAATCCGTGACGCTGCCAAATCGGTTTAAAATGCCACACATCGACCGCTTTGATGGATCTGGGGATCCCATGGTACACCTGCGATTGTTTTCAGATATCCTTAGGCCGATAGGCCTTTCCAAATTGTAGAAGCTTTCTTTGTTCGGCCGAACCCTGTCGGGTGTAGCAACCATTTGGTACGCAAAATTGGAAGACTCTGTTAAGAGGAGTTAGGAGGAGATGGCTGAGGCCTTCATAGCTCAATATTCTTATAATACACAGATCGAGGTCACAACTCGCGATCTCGAGACTACCAGGCAAGAACCGAAGGAGAGCTTCTCCGACTTCGTAACTCGTTGGAGGGCCAAGGCCTCAATGATGACCATCAGGCCCGTTGACAAGGATCAAATTCGGATGGTTGTGCGCAACCTCCAACCCAAGCTCATGCAGAAGATGATAGTTCTCCCCCTCTTCACCTTTGCAGACCTACATGAGATTGGGGTGCAGATCGAGGATGCAATGAAACAAGGTCTGATTGACCCTGAAAGAGAGCAGCAGCCCAAGAGGGCATTCAACCGCAGTACAAATGTAGGCACAAGCAATGCTGCAGTTGGCAGATCTTCAGATGTAGGAATGGTCACCACCACCCCTCCCAAAACCCTTGTGGCTACACCCCTTACCGGTATGTCCGAAAGTAGCTCGCAGGCAGCTAAATATGCCCCCAGAGGCCAAAGAACCTTTACCCCACTATACATGCCCCTGTCCAAAGCTTTGGGGGTTTTGATCAAGAAAGGGCACTTGAAGCCCCTAGAACCGCGGCCATTGCCAAATACGATTCCTCCCTCTCATAACCCGGCAAAGTACTGTGCCTAACACCAACAACATGGTCACGAAACCGACCAATGTTTTCGATTACGTCATGACATTCAGGACCTCATCGACAACATGGTGATTATGCCTCCGGAGAAACCAAATGTCACAACCAACCCCCTCCTACCACATAACCAAGCTCCACCTCCCAAACGCATTAACCTAATCCAAACTGGGGTTGTGTCATACGACCCTAGCATATATATCACCCCTTCTCACCTACCCAAGCCGGAGGTGCTCATTCCAGAAAGCACGGATTTGTGCATAATGAGCACCTTCCAAACCCAACCCGAGTCGGTGGTGGTGGCCATCTAAGATAGAACAGGGATCACTTTGGAAACAGAGATAAATGAGGATTCAGAGCCTGAGGGGTCTGTGAGATTTGAGTACAACCCGAGCGGTTATATCACACCAACGGATCAACCTAAGCCAGAAATGAAATTGCCAGTGGAGGCAGAGATCAGTGTAGTTAGGGAAGATGAACCTAATCAAGGGCTAGATGACCTAGCAGAATTGGAAGAGGATATCGCCAACCTTCAATTCTTCAACGAATAGGATACAGGGGACGTGATTGTCAACTGGTTTGATTTAGATGGGTCAACAGAAGCTACCGGGTGGCTCAGTGATGAGCCGGATGCTATTGAACAACTTCAGCCAGACCAGGGGCAATCAGGGGTTGGAATATCATCAGCAATGGCTGGAATGGCCGAGAATCAGGAGCAACCGCCGGAGAGCACCGGTGTTAAGAATTTTGCTCAGGTTCAGAACAGTTTGAGTATAGAGGATGTTGAACAGCAGGCTGCACTGAAACAGTTTGAGCAAGAGAAGATCGAAGATCTGGAGAGAGTTAGAAAGGCCAAAGCCCCTGTGGGGACTAAATGTGCTGTGAGTACAGGAACAGAATGTGCAGTGGGCACAGGAACAGTTGTAATAGAACCAAATAGTTGTTTGTCGATGGCCGACGGAATGTGGTGGGACTGAAACAGTTTGAGCAAGAGAAGATCGAAGATCTGGAGAGAGTTAGAAAGGCCAAAGCCCCTGTGGGGACTAAATGTGCTGTGAGTACAGGAACAGGATGTGCAGTGGGCACAGGAACAGTTGTAATAGAACCAAATAGTTGTTTGTCAATGGCCGACGGAATGTGGTGGGAGGACGACGACCTATGTCTCGCCCACACGGACGAAGATTGGGGGAACAACCAACCGGATGATACCTGGTATCTTGGAGAGGGGGACCACATGACCAGGAGTGGGCGGTACTTCAAGTCCCCACACCCAGATTAACCAGAGGCGTCCGGGAAAGACAGGGAGGCAGAGAAACAGAAAGAAAAGTTATTCGAAGAGGAGGCTGTGCTGAAACAGTTGAAGAAGATACAAACAGACTTCTCTATCTGGGGACTGCTTATGGTTTCAAAAGTATACAGACAAGCTGTCCTTTCTGCAATGGACAAAGCCAAACTTTCAATTGACACCACGCCTGAATAGCTGGTAGGGTTGGTTTTTCCTGGAGGAACTTCCCCGATGTTAACCTTTACTGATAAGGAACTGTCGCCCGAGGGCGCAAACCATAACAAACCCCTTTACATCTCTGTGGAATGTAAAGACAAGTGGATACCGGTGGTTCTTGTCGACACAGGATCCGCCATTAACATGTGCCCGTCAAGGACAGCATATGCAATCGGATTAAATCCTGCGGACTTTGTACCCACTACCCAGGTGATTCGGGCATACGACAACACTAGCAGAGAAGTGATGGGGACTATACAAATTCGGACTAAGGTTAGTCCAGGACAACACGATATTGACTTCCATGTCTTGGACGTTCCTGCAACCTTTAATCTACTCTAGGGGCGACCGTGGCTGCACCAGGTGAAGGCAGTCTCTTCCACCCTCCATCAGATGTTGAAATACCCCTATGGGAAGGGGGTGGCCATTGTTTTTGGGAATTCGTCAATCCATCCACCGCCAGAGGTGTCTACGCCAGTATTGGAGATTGAACATGGCGCGAAAGATGTGTTCCTGTCAAGGTTCACCCTAGTCGAGGCCCAGGTTGTACAGAACATTCTGGCTATTGATGAGGGGCTCTATGTCAACGCACAATCAGTGTGTCTCATGAACATGTTACAGCGCATCCCCAAGATGGGATTAGGGCGCAGTAGCCAAAAAAGCGTTACAACATCGGCCAGAGTGCCGCATAACCCACATACCTTTGGTCTAGGTTATCTGCCTACCAAGGAGGACTGGGTGAGGAAAAGTAAAGAAATGGCCGGAAGGGCCAGAGCTAAGAAGATGGGAAGGCATTTTGAGTTGATCCACCGACCAATCCGGGGTACCCTAAACGGACTCTTTGTCCGGGAGGGGGAGGACTTCCCGTTCTGCGGCTTCCTAGAGCCATGGTTGAATACAGAGAGGTGGCGCTTACCAGGATTTGAGATCTTCTTCGACTTACAATTGTCTGGGGATGACGTTGCCGAGGAGCAAACAGACCCAATAGCTGAGGCTAAGTAGTGTAAAGAGGAGGTTTCCAAGGAAGTGGAGATTAAAACGGGTGTAGCACTGGCATGTCTACTTTCAGATCCTCTGATCGTACATGAGTGTTTAGGGAATGACCTCTCAGTGTTCATGATTGGGAATGAAACGGCTGCAAGCCCATCTTCAAATATCTTGGATGCGTCCATTGCACCTTCCCTCGTCTGGCAGTACGAGAAAGGATTCTTATCGAGCAACACCGGGTCAGGTAGTGAGCCGGAATCTGATTCCACCGAGTCTGTAGGGAGGGAATCAAGTTCTAGCTCGTCTGAGTCTAAGTCCGGTATTCCTAGGAGTGATAACCTGAATGCCACAGTCCTGTCTAGGTCGTCTTTTTCTTTTTCCTTTGAGTCTGTTGTAACAGAGAAACCAGGTGACTTGGAAGTACTTAATGAGAATTATGCGGCTATGGCCTTCGATTATTTTTCTGTGCCCTTAATTTATTGCATGAATCGGGATTTTCAAAATTTTGATGAAAACGATGAGGAAGAAATTCCTCCGGTTTTGCAATATTTGCTTGATCAAGAGCATGAGAGATTTGTTAAACCCTTGGTTGATGAAATCACCCAAATTAACGTTGGTACTGAGAAGGACCTGCAACTGGTCCAAATCGGGTCCACGTTGTCTTCAGAGAAGCGCGAGCGCCTAGTCGCTTTATTTAAAGATTTCAAAGATGTTTTCGTGTGGTCCTACGAAGACATGCCTGGAATCAATCCTGAGATTGTACAGCATCGGATCCCTCTTGACCTAGAGGCCCGACTTGTCAAACAGAAGCTCAGAAGGATCCGCCCTGACTGGGCTCTCAAGTTCAAAGAAGAGGTCACCAAACAAATTGACGCAGGGTTCCTGCTGGTAGCTGAATACCCAACTTGGTTGGCGAACATAGTTCCAGTGCCGAAGAAAGACGGCAGAATTCAGGTATGTGTGGACTTCAGGGATTTAAATAAAGCCAGTCCGAAGGACGACTTTCCTCTGCCGCATATCAATGAGTTAGTGGACTTCACTGCAGGGCATGCGTTGCTCTCGTTCATGGATAGGTTTTCTGGCTACAATCAGATATTGATGGCACCCGAAGACCAGGAGAAGACTACTTTTACCACCCCGTGGGGGACCTATTGTTATAGGGTAATGCCGTTTGGGCTGAAGAATGCTGGAGCCATGTATCAACGGGCCGCGACCACAATATTACACGACATGATCCACAAGTAGGTTGAAG